GAGCAGGAAGCTGGCACGAGAGGTCCTGGCGGCCGGAGTTCCCTGCACATCCCCACGGCCCCAGGGCCCAGCGGGTGGCGAGACGCGAACTCTTTGCGTTACATTGAATGGCATGAAACAGGAAACCAGATGGAGAGTGAGGCAGCCCGTTTAAATGTCAGTGTTCCTCCTTTTCCTCCTCCCCCAGGTTGCATTGCCCTCTCTTTCCCCCACCATGCAAGCAGGCACCATCGCCCGTTGGGAGAAAAAGGAAGGGGAAAAAATCAACGAGGGCGAACTCATTGCAGAGGTGAGTTGTTTTAAAATATGGAGCTAAGTTAAAAAGGACCGAGTTAGCTAAACTGAGCATTAACTTTCCGGGTGGGTAGTTACTCCTTAAGAAACCGAGATGTTGTCAACTTGTCAGCAGCTGGCAGAAATGAATTTTTAGCTAAGTTCTAAAAAATAATTCCTTCTTTCACCTCTGTGATAGAGGTTGTATCTTCACTTCTAAACACAAGCTAATAATCTTCATAACTTGGCAGCACAGGCCTAAGCGCCTACTTTTGTGTTAAAAGGTTGAAACTGATAAAGCCACGGTGGGATTCGAGAGCATGGAGGAGTGTTACATGGCAAAGATACTTGTTGCTGAAGGCACCAGAGATGTTCCCATTGGCTCAGTCATCTGTATCACAGTTGAAAAGTGAGTGGCACCCTGGTGATTTTTGGAATTTAGGTGATTAGTGGGCTGTTTTAACCCAGAATTGAGGAATTAGGAGTTAAAGGCTCCTAAGACTCCTTCTGTAGGAGCTAAATCTGCTTTATAACCCCCCCTTATACTTATGCATTCTTTCTCTTCCTTAGACCTGAGGATGTGGAGGCCTTTAAAAATTATACATTGGATTCGGCAGCACCCACCCCACAAGCAGCCCCAGCACCAACCCCTGCTGTCACTTCTTCGCCACCTACATCTTCTGCTCAGGCTCCTGGTAGCTCATATCCCACTCACATGCAGGTGAGGCGCAGCCTCTGGGTGTTAACTCTAGAAAGTTTATTATCTATTCATTAGTTTGCAGAGATGGCTATCACATTCTGGAAACTTGCTTTAAATATGGCTACCTCTTGTCCTGAAAGTAAATAGGAAGTTAAACGTGAAAATGGATAACTTTTAATCCTAGTTGTTATTTCCAGGTGTGTTATTCTCAGCCACAATGTAGTAGCAGGATAATGCTTGGCATTTTTCATTCACGACATTATGTTATATTTTGAGGATGATTTGTACTTAATACGTATAGAGAGAGTTTTTAGTGGGCCTCGAGTGCTGTCTGTTGAATGAAAGTCCTCAATTGGTGTTTTCCTTTGCAATGTGGTGTTCTGTTTTCTAAGAGTGTGTAGTAGTCCAGTAGTATTAATAAATGAGAGAATTAACAATAAAGAATAAGTGTAGAATAGACATATAGCATTGAAACAAAGCTGAAGGCAACAATCACAGTTGATTCTCTTAACTAAGTCAGTTTAATAGATATTAGAGTAATCCCATGTATATTTGTGTGTTTCTGATACTAGAAATGGATAAAAACCAGCTGCCTTCTCTAAAGGGTTAAGACTAGAGCTTTTCCTTCACTTAGTTATTTGTAGAAATTTCTATAGAAGGGTCTTTTTTTGTGTGAACATAATGATCTACTCCACGATCTATTATTAACAGTCACTCATGAAGAAGTTTTGCCTGGTGTTTAGTTCAATATTTATTTCATCTTGTCCAGCAAATTCTGTATCACTACATAACTCTGACTTCATTTCTCTCCATTTTATCTCTGTGGCTTTATATTCAAGGGTTAGGATTATGTCTTAATTATCGTAATTTTTTGTTGTTAATCCTCACCC